TTTCTAGAAGGTGATTTGGGTGTTTTATTTTCCAGTGTCTTAACATGCCAGAATTGCAGCTATGCAGTGATAGTCATTGCAAAAGTCAGATCAGCAAACACTCTGAGGTCAGAAACTGAGTGTTTGTAATGAATTTATCTTACTTTCTGGCTGAGGTATTCTCTAATCCTTCAGCAGAGAATTAACTCAAATAGAAATGGTGCTGCTATCAGATACCTGTGTATCAATTCACTATAAGGTTGCTGTCTGCCTGAAGCATGCATGGATTGCAGGATGTCTTGCTCATACATTACTCCCTCTACCAGTTGCACAACATTAAGAGGTCATCGATAAATAGTATGACTTGCAAAGGAACAGAAAAAAAAAAATTGTGGTAATTCTACATTGTTGTGAGCATATTTCACAAAATCATTGCCACAAGGCTAATTTCCCTTGTTTTGGGCCAGAAAGATAAGCAAAGAGAAATGTAGCCTTAAATAACCCTGTTTGAGGAAGTAGGTTTAAAGGAAAAAGCAAAATAAAAATCCAAAGTAAAATCCAAATTATTAATTGTTGCCTACATTAACAAATGTGTCTCAGGACAGGTAATTTATTATATTCAAAACTAATTATTACTTCTCCAAATATTATAATGAACCAGAAAGTTCAATAGGGATCTTCAAGACTTTGTAAGACTTGAATTCCAGAACAGATTTTTGAGTCCATTACCTGGGAATTTTATGAAAAATAATTATTAAAAAAAAGCCATGAGAAACTAAATGTCCAGGAAAATGAGAAGGACTTAGTTAAGATCATTTGCATATTTGCTAGGCTAGTGTTTTACTGCAACATTCAGGTTTTTTTAAAAAAGAAAACAACTCTGAAGACTGAAAGAGCATATTTTGCTTAATAGGGGCCAAGAATGGTGGGTAATACAATCGGAGAAATATTATTCCCATTTAATCATCTTTTTTTATTTGATGGTAAATTGAAATTATCTCTTCTAAAATTTTGCAAATGTAACAAAATAGCTGTATTACTGAATATCTTGTGTGAGCACGGTGCTAAATGTATAGCTAATACAAACTTGCAAGGCAGATGGGATTTTAAGTACATAATTAGTGACATTGATCAGGCATTGATTTGAAAATATACACAGTTGAGATCTCCAGTGTTGCAAGCTGGGAGAAACACAAAGGTGGGAATTTTAACACAGAAACAATACAGAACACTTTGTGCTTTTTGCATCATTTCAGATGACAGCTGTTTATTTCAGTAATACTGTAAAATTCAATTGAAAATTCTAAATTTTTATAAGGGAGTGTTACAATAATTTTAATAATTGAATAAAAATATTAAGAAAATGTATAAGTAGATTCTATCAAAATTTTTTCAGCATTATAGTTTACTTGTTTTGTGAGTGATGAGTAAGAGGTGTGCACATTTTTTTAAAATATAAAGCAGCTGAATTCTTCCTTTAATATGAGATCTTTGAACTATAGAAAGATGAATGTCTTTCTGATGGGAAATCAAAAGTCTCTATTGATTCTAAAGCATAAATTGTCAAAAACACAGTGGCAAGAGCTCACTGATAAATCAAGTTTCAGACAGCCTTGATATTCCAACTTCTAACATTTTAAAAGGGATTAAGCTGCCTCATGTTGAAGTGCGCCTGGTTTCTAAATATAGAATGAAGGGATGAAGTGGGATCTTCACTTTTGCTGTTGTTGAGAGGCATAATAGATTTACATCTGGCAAGCAGAACCCTTTGTTTGCGGTTATTGTACGTCTTTAATTCTGAAACAGGATGTCTGCAATTTAACTGCATTTTGGAAACCACTGATTTTAATTAAGCTCAAAAATAAGCAAGCAAAAAAGAACAGACCACCAAATGTGAACTGTAGCCAAGGATATATTAATTTTGAATTCAGGAGCCTAAGTATGGTAACATACCTTAAGTCAAACAAGATCAGGATTACTTTGGAATGAGAATGAATTGGAAAAATACATCTGTTTTTTAAAATAATTTTGGTTTTTCTTCTTTTATTCCAGCTCATTTTACTCAAAAGGTTTCTGAATAATAATAATAAGATATTCAGTGGACCATTCTCATGTCTTTCAATGTATTTTAACAATATTTATATGGAAAGTCTTAAAGACATCTTACAAACATGTTTTGATTAATAAACCAAGAGGGTTTAAATATACATTGTAACTTCATTCATTGTAAGAATTCTGGATAACGCATGTGATTTTGTTTTGTTTATTCCTTTTTACGATAGTGTTTTATCTCTTTAGATCTTCAGTGTGTTCTCACAAATAACCACCTTGTTAACTGAATATCCTTTTGGTTTTTTTTAATATTAACTGTGTGACTCATTACATTTCTAAAAAGAGTACTGCATTCTGAAGTGAGCACTAGTTGGCAAAAGAGAAACCTCTTCCTTTTTAAAAAATAATTGCTCCTGAATATATCTGGTACTAGAAAAGATCTTCAATTTCCTTAAAAAGTGAATGCTTTACAGTTTTCCAAGGTGCATCTATTAGAGGTAAACTATTCTGAATTACTAAAATGTAAGTATTCTGACAGTCTTGCAAAGTTTAGCACATCCATACATTTGCATTTTGCTAAGATGCAAATATTCAGTAGAAACAGAAGTAAAAGCTCTTTGGTCATTAACTACATGTACCTCATACCTAATTGTCGTTCTATTAGGAACAGCGAAAAGAACGACACAGACTCTCAAGGGAGTCGGAACAGGAGAATTCCTCTAGTTTATTACTTTAGGTTTGTTTTATAGACTGGTACGTGGAAAGCACAGAATGGAAACCCTTATTGGTTAGCAAATCACTACATTACCATCATTGGTTAGTGGGGCACAACACCCTCTGACTTTCTCCCTGAGGATTGTTTTCAAATCCTCCCATGAATTTCTCAGGCTAGCTCTCAGTCAGGCCTGAGAGCTATGTGGCCTGTAATAACTACAGGCACTCTGGTTCAGATTTAGCATCCGTACCTAATCTAAAATACAATAAGCCAGAACAGTTTGGTTTTGCTATTGGTTTTAAATGATGAATCAGGATTCTTTTATTTTAAAGGAATAGTTCAATAAGTTTTTTTTCTGTTTGACTTTGCTTTTTGCACTTACCCTCTAGCTCTGTGGCCACATTTAGGCATAACGTTTTTTTCATATATTGAAAACTATTTTTTTTACTTACCCAGATTTCATTCTATATTACTTTTTTCACACCCTCTAATAGCAGCAATAACTTTAAAGTACATTTTGGAGGGAAATCACTGTATAATAGTATCTATATATACTCACAAGACTAGTTTCTAATATGATGCAGAAGGCCAGCTGTCTACATTTATCAAAAGGTTGACCTTGAAATTGGTAAGCTTGGAAGAGTAGTCATGAAAGAGCAGTTCAGGCAAAAATGAAACGATCCATTGAAATCATCGCTTTCACAAGTCATTACATTGTTTACTATGTTTCCTCAAGCGATTGTTTTGCCTTTTGGATAACTAAGAAGCCTTGATTATTTTTCTAGCCTGCAGAAATATAGAAAAGCTTTTATCATTTAATCTTTTTCAAAAGGCAAGTACTAGAGACATAATTATATATACATACAACAAAAAAACACTAATTTGAGCTTATGTCCAGATAAAGCAAAGGAAAATAAACAAAAAAGCCCAGCTCACCTTCTATTTATAACTACAGCAATGAATCTCTTATTTTTGCTGTTACATGAGTATTTGTCACATAAAATTAATTATGTGATCATAGTTGGGTCCTTAAAGGTTTCTTATATGTTTACATGGAAGCAAAGATTAACAAAATTAGACTGTTATAGGTAGAGATGCTGGAGAGGCCATACTCATGTGTAGGATTCTTCACACTCAAATGAGAAAGCACAAAACCCACCATGGCTTTGTTCTTATTTAGTAAGAGCATGCAAGGTATTTTTCTCTAAAAAAATCCAGAAAAGGTATCTGTGTCCACGTTTCTCATAATTCTTAAACACTTGTTTCCAGATTCATCTACGTGACTGATTATACCTCTCACTGTAGTCTTAAAGACATTATTTTCAGCTAGAGTGGAATTTTGTGAGCCACTTTTAAGCAGTTCCCTAATACGTATTCATCATTTTCTGGGACTGGGGCTTGCAAGGAAACCAGGAAAAACTTGGTAAAATTGAGACTGATTTGGAATTCTGGCACACAAAATTGTAATACCAGGAATGGCTGTATGAATACTGCTGTACTGTTCCACTTAGTGCCAGGATCTGAAGCAGCTGGAGCCTTGTCCTGGGAGGGCACACATAATAACAAACAGGAAGAATTTTCTAAATGTCAAAATTTTGCTTGAGGGAAACCATATTCCCAGTACAGTTTCTGGCTGTATTTCACTTGCAGTAGCTCTCAAGCTCTTTTATGTGCCTTTTACACTAATTTTCCTAACCTTTTCACAATTTCTAAGATCAGAAAAGACAAAGGCACAATTATTTTTGTGTCTTTGTGCTTGCTGAGGCAGTCTTGGCTTATGTGGTTACAAATGTCCTGGCCTTTAGTCCAGGTTCCAGACTGTCTGGACTCAATTTCACAGTTGAACTACCAGAAATTCAAACCAGATATGAAGGCAATGCTCCTGGGTGACTGCCACAGGTAAGAACTGATCTTACAGATACAGGATATAACATGAAAATAGTTATCAGAATACATTTTCCGCCTCAAAATCACTATGGAAATTGAATGTTACCTGCAACTGATTCATGTTTTGGTACCAATAAGCTTTTGACTTCTCACTGAATCAAAAGCAAAAAGTATCTTAGTAATCTCATCCATGTCAAAAAGTTGACTACTGACAATATTCTTCATTTGTGCAACATGTTTGACCTTGTTTTATCTTCATCTCACAGCATCCATATTTATGGGGAAAAAATAAAAAACAAACAAACAAACAAAAACCAACAGTCAGAGAACATGTTCTTTCCAAGATCACAATTTATTCTTTCTGAGTGTCATTCATTACCATTCCCTTTTTCAGCCTGCTTAAATACTTTCTTCATATACTCACATATTCAGTATTTATGATGAATCTGGTGCAGTTGTTTTAAACCACTATAACCAAAGTCCACTTAAAGTCTCAGCATTCTCTGTACCTAATCTATACTTCTCACTTTTGATCAAATTCTTATCTTCCTGTATTGAATGTTCTGGCTTCTCATCACTGAAAGAAAACAGATGGAAATGAACTGCAAAATAAATTCCCTCATTTCAGTTCTTATATCTGATGTTAGCCCGTAAATCTCAGCAGTGCCAGTACTTCCATGAAGTAATGCAGGCAGACCTTTCCGAGTTAGCTAATAACCTAATAGTACCCTGATAATTTTTTTCTGTTTTATATATCAGCCAAATGTGGTGGTTGATAAGAAAAAGGGAGGAAAAAGGCATGTTCTTGGCACATACTCATCACCTATAACAAACAAAATCCTAATATGAATCTTAGAACTGATAAAGGCATTTCTCAGATAAGAAAAAACAAAAACAAAACTAGAAAAAGAGAGGAAATAAGCCTGAAAGATGCAAGTTTTCCATCTACTTGTAAGTCTGACAGAATTTGAAATATTTGGAAGTAATGGATAACCTTAATAATAAACCATAGTACCAAGATTTCCTATAATGTAATTCTTCCTACCTTTTTTACAGATCAGTGGATTTGAAATCCAGACCTATATCTTTTCAATTTCATGTAACTTAATAAGGGAGGAAGAACATGTAGCTCTTGGCAAGCTATGGTTGGGAAATCAACATTCAGAGCTGACATCTAGCTGTAAAAGGCCCCTGTAATATGATCAGCTGAGGGCAGGTTTGTGATTGATTTGTGGCCCATTCCAAGCCCTTTTGTATAGTATCCTATTCAGTAAAATATAACTTACTTGTTAATGCTTAATTACGAAAGGAATAGGAATTGAAAGTGGAATTTCAACTATCAGATTTCTTATTTCTCTGATAGCTCATGTGGTAGACTGTCAGATACTGAGTAAGAAAAAAACCCAACATATTATTTGTGGGAGTTTTTTGTGTTTTTTTTTCTAGAGACTGTAAATTGACCTCTGAATTACCTATACTTCGTTACCGAAGAGTAGGTACTTGCTTTTTGGTAAGATTATAGTATCTTTGCATGGAGTATCATACATTTGTATTTTTGATTTAACCATTTAAAAATTACACAAATTCATTCTATAATAACACAGTTTACAAAAGCATTATATTTAATTTCCTCTCTTTTGCCCACAGGTAAGTCTGTGATACTGAGGATATAATCTGTAACAGTGTTGGGAAATAGAACATTCTTGGTTGTCTTATTTTTGAAGCAGTTACATGTTAGTAGCTCTTCAAAATTCCTAATTACCTTCCAGGAGAGAATACTATGATAGTATGATACTTCATAATGCAAAGCACGTAAAAATTTTACAGTTAGAACTTGGGCAGCCTGGTCTTGTGTGTTATTTTGTGACTGCCTGTAGTAGGTGGGAGATGAGAGATGTGGTGACAAAAAAAGGGAAAGCCTATTACCCTATTTCCCAAAAAATACCTTTGTGAAAAATTTGACTTTTTAAAACACCCTTTTTTAACCTGTCATCTGCTGCATTACTATAGCGTTCTAATCTACTAGGAGAGCAGGTTTATTTCTGTTCAATTTTTTTTTTTCTGTGAACTCACATTTAATTACAAGAATAATTAATAAATATATTTATTATATAATAAATATAGAATAATTATATATAATTAATATAAGATAAGATAAATATATAGTTATTTAATTATAAGAATAAATGTTGACCTTTCTATCCAAATTTTATGTTCAATATCTGAATTCCTTTTCATTTGTTGGCATAAGTTTTGAAGAGTGTCATTTCCTTTTTGTGAGGTTTTGGCTTCTATTTTGGTGTTTTCTTAAGATATAAAACTGGTTTAGCTTTGGTAGGCAGATTATAATTTTTTCAGCCAACTTCAGTATTTGACAGTTTGCGCACTCAGTCAACGTTATTATTATTGCATGAATATAAAACTAACATTCTTGCAAAAGCAATCGGAAATTACTTCCTTTTGTTTAGATTGTGATTTTGTTATAGCCCAGCAAAAGGAGAGACTGGTGATACAATAAAGGTTATTTCTTTCTACAAATGACAACAACAACAAAATATTCAAATATTATTGAGTAATTAATGAACTATTCACTTTTAATTATTAATTAACAGGTTCACTACCACTGACTTACTCAATGCCAAAAATCAATATTCTCTAAATATTAGTTTTCAGTGTGAAGAAAATCTCTACTGTACTACATCTTAATTCCCCTGTTTAAGTAGACAGAATTTCCACATAAGGACCAAAACCTGCAAACTCAAAAAATAAAGTATTATCATGTAGACAAAAGTGTAATATACATAACATCTCAGTTAGAAGTTTAAAGCTCTAAATCCACATCTTTTAGAGGCAGAGAGTGAGATTTTATTTTTGGCCAGCTTTTTATCAATTTGGCTTTAATCCTTGACTAAATCTCTCTGGACTACCCAGGAGTACGTAGAAGCAAGTTCTTGAATTCATAAATCCATTTGCAATTCACTTAGTAACATACAATTTTTTGCCACCTTAAACTGCTATATCAAATAAGTAATATGCTTTTAGAATTTAAGGGACATTAAGGGATTTGTGTGTATAAATATTTGATTTTCAGATGGATACTGTCAGCTTTCTTTTTCAAGTATACATGTATACACAGACACATACACACATGCATATATACATCTCTGATGCTAATTATTATAATCTACTTCTAAAAATCTTTGAAATATAGAGAGCTAAAATGTCAGTTTAAAGCAGCTACAGTTCCTTAACACTTTACACATGAAAAAAAAAAAAAAATAAAAAACCAAAAGAGTATGATTTATTTTTTTTTTAATATATATCTAGCAAAGCTTGGATTTTTTTTTAATATATATCTAGCAAAGCTTGGATATACTATCATCCAGGATAATGTGTCAGGATATAGAGTTAGTGAAGCTGGTATATGAATGTTTTTACATAAAGAGCAGCCCAAAATTAATGGTGTTAGACCTTAGCTTGCAGTTGGGAATAAATAATTGCATAAATATATATTTAAATAAAGGCTAAATATTATCTGGTCACATCCTATTAATATCTACATTTTTGCCTTTTATTTTGTCCTAAAAGAGTTCTTTTTATTTTATTAATTAACATTTTATCCCCCTGTGTGTTGTACGAAGTGGAAAATAATAGGCAAATAAGTAATTTTAAATACAATATATTAAATAAGTAATATAAAATACGATTGATTAGTAATTCCTGATATCAGGTTACAGTTCATCAGGCTCATGTTAAAGAAGTCTCAGTTCACAAAACTAATTCTTAAGGGCAAGAAAAAACAATATAAACATTAATAAGTTGAACTGGATTGCATTAAGTTTCATTTTGACTGTTACTTAAATTCTCTACAATATCTTAAGTAATATACTTAAAAAAAAAAGTAAAGTTAAATCGTGGTAGCCTGCAGAAGTTGCACTGTTCAATCTGTCAAGGTTTTTAACAGTAATATTACTTTTCTGAAAGCTGTAGAAACTTTTCTACACAACAACTACTATGATTTATTTATCACTACATATATTATATAGTCTGATTCCAGTAGCTGTCCATAATGACTGCCATTAAAAGTAAAAAGCTGTCATGACCTGAAAAGATGGGATCTGACTATGCATAAATACACAGTTTTCAGTCTAAGAAAATCTTTTCAGTTAAACATAATTTTATAAGTAATGCAGCTTAGCTGTGTATTACAGTTATACACCAGTTGTCTTAAAACTGATGTGAATAAAAAATCCCTGAATTACTCATTTGTCTGTCGAGGTTGGCTGATTTAGTTTCATAAACATTATAATGCTATTTTTGAAAATCACAAATGAGGACTAGTATTATCATAATACTCTGAAAAAAAAAATAAATATCCAGAATGTTGAAAATTGAACCTTTCTCCAGGGACAAAACTTAAGTAAATGGAACTGCAGTTTTTCTTCATTGTTAAGCAACTCAATTAATAAATCTTGTCCTCCAATATTGTATGAAACAATAATAAAGTTCTGTTATTTGTAATGTACCACCTACAATTTAAACATTTAACCAACAAAGATGTTATCTCCTAGATAATCAAGCCAGCTGTGGCTTATATTTCTTGATCATGAAATTCCATTAATCTAGCTCAATCCCATTTTGTCTGTTGTTTTTTCTAGTTGTCATTATACTCAGGCTTTATGCCAACAAAACTGAGTCAGGAGTCAATGCTGTATAAAAAGGTTGAAACCTCAAAATGTTTAAATCTCGTCTTATTTGTGAGCACTTCTTCCCAAATTATGTGGGGAAATAATGACATCATAATGCATGAATTATGAAAAACAGAACGTTAAATGTTACACAAATACACAAAACCAGAAACTGACTTGGACTTGAAGAGAAGCATTATATCTGGGGTTTTTAAAGTTCTTTTTATAAGAATATGTATTTTAAACCATGGAAAGTAAATGAATGATTGGTCAAATCTCGACTTTGTAAAAGCTCCATCATAAATTTTTCTAGCAACATTTTACCATTCAGGTCAATATGAAAAATATTGCTGGAAACTAAATATGGGAGTTAGGGAAAATTTTACTGAATTCCCAGCTGAGGATCTGGCATAGTATGTCATCTATAGATACCAATTAATGAAGTGCTAAGTTTCAGGTGACATATATTGTAATAGAAGGCTGGGAGTAATAACTAAAAATATGTAGGGGAAAATGGATGTACCAGTTTTATCTCATTCTTTTATGTTCTTGTCAGGTCAAGTCACTCACAAATGTACAAAACTGGAACTGCACATCATATATCTACATGCATACTGTGACGCTTGTACCTTACTCTTAAGCCAAAATGTAATCAGACTAGACATCTCAGTTGACTTATAGAGTATCTGTCATTCCATTGCAGAATATTAATATTCTTGTGCACGTAAGCACAGACTTTAAAGACCAGAAGGCTGACACTACACTTGTTTTCTTAAAAAAATCACATCCTCTTTGTGCATGTCAGATACACATGCAGGGACATAATCAGCTGGAGCTAGCCAGTGTCTCCCTGGTGCTAGCTGTAATAATTACACCCAAAATAATGGAAATAAAATAGATCTTTTCTGTTTTAAATATTTTAAGTATGTATACTTAGAATATTTTTGCTTGGAAACTGCAGGTGTCAATATTTTTTCTATTTGCTTTGCTGTACTGAATGCATCATGTGTACTGAAACAGGTGGCAAAGTCAGTGAATCAGCATTTTGAAAGCTGAAATATATTTTCCAGAAGTACCAAAGTGGATTATTGAGGATTGAGATTAAAGTAGTGATAAAAATGACAAGCACAAACATGTTCATCTGCTCAAAAGTACTGTCTAGCTCATTTTGTTGTAAAGTATACAAACATATCACTTTGCTAAGTAAAACTGGAGATGATAGATCTAGTTATATATTAGGACTGGGTGATAAATGTCAGGGGGTTTAAGATTTAGTTTGATAGTATTTTTGAACTTGTTACTGATCCTTTTACAGTTCACTGATACTGCTGTGCAATACTCTTCAAAGCAGTAGGCAAATACTCAAGGAAAATGCAATAATATCTGAAACACTCATCTACCAGAGTTTTTTGCAGTGAAGTTTTTTTAAAAAACATGGTTATTTCATACTTGTGTCAATCTGGTTTTATTAAGGGTCACTATTTCCTATTAAAGTGGTGCATTTATATTTGAGGAGACAGGAACACAAATCACAAATGAATGTTTCAATCAGAAAAATACAATTTAGGTACACATATTTGTATGTTTTGCTGTAATTCATGTCACTGGAGATTGTAGCTGGGATTAGGAAATTCAGTTTAATGACCCTGGTTATTATTATCAGAACCCTGTCATAGTGACAAATATTTAAAATACTCAGTCTTCTTGTGTCAGATACGCTATGGCCAACTGATCAATGCAAAATTTTTTAAACTTGCTATCATTTTCTTTGAATTCTGTGGCCATAGTCAGTAAAATATTTGGATGACACACTAGCCTGAAGTGAACAGGAGTAAATACTAAAGAACCAGGCTTAATTTGGTTTCAAATTTTGGGTTTGCCTGGTTGTTTCACCCTGGAATTAATGAGAGCAAAACAACTAATAAAGAAAGAAAGAATACTAAAATATACAAGTGAATTAATTGCAGATGTTTAACTGCAAAAAATCTTTCTCAATATAAAAATAATTTTGGCCATGAAAACTATAGATAATTATCACTACTAACCTTAAATTGCAAGACAGGAGTGTAACATGTTTGGCAAGACCACTGAGCAAGGGAAACAAATGCAGGTTAAAGCAGCTGCTCTGTAAAGAACATGTAAAATTTTATTAGCTTTATGGAAGTATAACTTTATAAAACTGTGATGAATAGTGCATTTGAGCTAGCTATGGGGGTTTTTTGTTTCATTGCAACAAATATTTATACAATAAATACATATTTTCCATTTCCACACAGTTAGTTTCTATTTCCTGACATAAAGCTGTATATACAACAAATTACATCAGTATAGAAATTTGAGTGAGGATGCTGCTTAAACTCAGCAGAAGATAATAGCAAATTTCTTTACTTTTGTTTTCCCCATGAAATTTTCTGTGCATCTTCTATGAACAAAATAAATGCCTTAGGTAAAATTTATAGTGATGAGAGATAAGTCAGTTGATGACTGACTGATGTGAGACATCTCAGTGATGAGAGATAATCCTCAGTTTACTGATGGAGGGAGAAAAAGAGAGAGAAGGTTAAATATTGGAAGTAGTGAACCAAACTTTATGCAGAGCAGGATTTACTAATACAGCATCCTAAAGCTGGATATGACCAGAGACTAGAGATAGAGAATAGCACTTCTGCAAGAATACCTTTTCCTAAGAAGGAGACAGTCTCACAGATTAACTTCTGGTTTACTTTCAGTCTTGGATTATTGTCAGAATATGTGCCAAAAAGGGGTACAACTGCAATGTGAAATTTGTAGTTTGTAGTAAGGGATATAGTTTGCTTATCATCAAATGGATGATAATAGCCAAGAATGATGTAAGTCTTTCAATGAACTGGCATAATTCCAAAACAGTTTTTCCTAAGAAACTGGAGAGCAAAACCTTTTCTTCAGCAGAAATCTCTTAGAATGACAATTTTTTGGTGCCTGTCTCCTGCTGGAGGAAGAAAAAAACACCTTTCTAGTATAGTGCAAAAGTGGCTCAGAGTGGCACAGATTATATCCTACACAATGACAGCTTCATTACCTATATAAAAGTTTTTTACTCAAACTTGGGCTTTCTAATGCACACAGAAGGTGTTGCCTGCTGTAGGGCCCTGATGCATAGCACTGTGTGGTATGCTGATGAAAAATCTGAACAAAATTGTGGCTTATTTCTTTGAACCATTTCCAGTATGTTTTCCTTCAGATAAACTATCTCCCTTGATATATTTACATAATGATTAATTGAGGAGAAATGTCTTCAGAGCTTTCTGAAGAAATGTAAAATGGGATTCACTGACTCACCTAATTTACTCCAAAAAAGGGGGAGTGAAATAAAGTTACCTACCTTCTTCTGTTGGAATGATGCAAAGTAGATCAAGCTTTGTCACTATTAATACCATTTCCTAGTGCCTTTGTGTTGCGCTGATTCAAATTCAAAATGCCTCTGAAACTTCTCTTGACATAGTAACTACTACTTGTCACAAATTATTATTAAAACCTAATATTCATTTTAGAATACCTGTCACAATTTTGAAAGTTAAATTCCTTAAATATTAAATATTCTGACAGTTGAAAAAATAAACACAATTTCTCTTTCTCTTCTAAGATCGTACATGTTTTCTTAATTGATATTCAGTTTCAGAATATCTTAAAATAAGGTTAGACCTTCCTACAAAATTAATCTTATTCTACCTTTGAGGCTACTGAAGTATCTGCTACACCCACCTCCCTTAGAAAGTTCTGTCTGACTGTAGCATTAATATAGTTCTTTTTATGTTCTGCCTCAAAAGTAGCTGAAATTTTTTAGTAGTTTTGATTTCTGATTGACAGAGCTCTGCATGCAGCTTGTGAAATAAACACTCCTTAGAAAATATAACTTCCTTACATGGATAAGCCAAAACATACTTGTTATGTTTATACTTATTTCTGGAAATTACTCAGATAAATTCATCTCATTATTCAGACTTTAAGAGGCAAGACTTCTTCATTAACTTCGTAATAGCAAAAGTAACTTAGAGGTTCAGAATCAGATGCCATTCATGGGACTTTTCAGTCTTTATTCAAACAGAATGACTCACAATAAATTCCCGTGAGTGAGAAGTTCTGATATCAGGCCCTCAAAATTGTGTCTCTTAGTTACTCTGTCACAGTATCTTCTGAAACCTGGCCAAGAGGTTCCCTACCAATCCAGAAAATGATGGCTTATATGTTAAGAAGGAAAGGGTGGTACTGAAGACTTTCAGAATTTATATAGTGCAACAGGTTTGGTTTTGTTGTAATATATGGAGATAAGTAGTGTTTTCCAAAAAAAGAACATAATTAGAGTCGTTTGAAGAAGAAATCTTGTTTTTGATTCCTTGAAATATATCCAAGATTCCATATTTTTTTTGTATTGAACTTAACTGATAGCTGTCATTTGTAACATAGGAAAACAAGACCAGAAAACAGCTAAGAAGCTATATATAAAGTTGGATTATGCACATAAGTATTATATATAAATATATAGTATTAATATTATTAAGTAGAAGTATTAATATATATATATAGTATATATATAAAGTATTTCTTAGTCTTCATCAGTTCACCATAGTAGTTAGAACAGCTTCAGCTAATACTTTGTTTCCTAGACACAACTTATTTAAACCATACAGAAATAGGAGGAAAACTGTGAAGATATTGAACAATTTCTTATGAAATCCAGTTATGGAAGGATACTAAACCATGACACTGTCCTGAAGGACAGCCATGGAGTCTTTTTACACACTGGTAAAGTGACAGGTCACACCTGCTTTTAGTCTCCTCCAAATCAGTAATGTCTCTTCCATGCAGAAAGTAACTGTATACTAGTTAAGTTTCCCCAACTATTCAAAGCCCCTTGTTTTAGCAATCTTTAAAGAGGTATTTCTCTGATCTTACACCTTGGCTGAATGCACTATATGCTACTAACTTGCAAATCTTAAAATCAGAAGGAGAGGAGACTGTGGAGATGAAAACACCAGTTGGTTAGAACATGGTGCTAATAACACAAAGGACACAGATTTGATCCATTTATGGACCACACACTTGAGAGGTGGACTCAATGATCCTTGTCAGACTCTTCCAATTTGGAATATTCTTTGATTCTGTTTCCAAGGCTGTACAGTTTGAGACCAGTTAGACATGTGTTTTTTGTCAGGAAATAACAACTCTTTTTGAAGAGCTGAGTTTTCCTGCGCTGAATGCTCTTTTGGTTTTTTAGGTGTTGATTGGTTGTTTTGTGTGACAGTTTTAAATACACGTATTATGTAACTATGAGAAAGACTTTTTAGTCCTGCTAGTAGTCTCACAGGAAACAATAGAATGGAACCTGCAGATAAATTTTGTCACAGAGATTGTCCTGGGAAGTCAGAAATTTAAAAAAAAAACCTTTGCTTTGTAAACTCCTTCTTAGAGAAGAGTCTAGGTAAGACAGGATCCCTCCTAGTCTCAGGTTTAGTAAAAGTTTATATTTTATGGTTTATGTAGGTGTAATTCAGCCTTTATGTAACTTTCTCCAATGGGATTAGGGACAGCAAACCAAATATAGTTATATGAATAAAGCATATTCTTTTTTTCAAATTGATGATAATGATTAGACTAAAAAAATTTAATCAGAGTTATTTCCTGCACAATATGTTTATAACTACTATTATAGTGCATTACTTTTTTTTTAACTATATTGAAGTAATTATATTAAGACTAGCAAAATAATTGTTACCATAATGTGATTTATTTACTCAACCATACCAATGACTCTGGGCAACTCTTTCATTCACCCTCAAGGAGTAACCTTGAAGGGGTGCCCCCACTCAAGGGAGGAATCTCCACATGCATCCTAGAAGGAGTATGTGGCAAGTCCCTGCTGTAAGAAGAGGGACTGCACTTTCAAAGTATAAAGTGATTGGCTGTTACTTACAGGTTTGAAGCCAGCTGTGTCAGCTCAGCAGCCTGTAGCTCAGCAGCTTTAGATAAATTATGACTATTATCACTTGCTGGTTCCTTCAGAAGGATGTCTGTATGCTGCATCCTCACCCGTATGAGTTTCTGTAGGGAAATGTTCTTCACATCTTCAGAATATTTAGCTTTGGGACTGATGTGTCAGGCTGGCCTCAGTGTTCTTTAACAACATGAGGAGTGTAACCCCTTCTTTCCATCTATAATCAATAACTTTTGCAAATATGGTAAAGTTCAGGCTGTTTTATCTCCACTTAGGCAGAGCATCCTGCTACATATCAAAGGCAAAAAAAGAACAGCTATCAAAAATTTGGTTGAAAATTGCTATCCAGAAATTTTATATGTGAAGCAGAGTCTGAAGAATAGGGTTCTGCTCTAGATGTCCTTAGGCTTCTTCAATCTGTGTGAAACTAAATGATTATAGGTCCTGTGTTTCTTATTCATAGCTCAAGATCTCTCTTCTCAGGTTTACTTGCCACAGTTTATCCCTGGTTTCAAATTTTGAGGATTTTGTTCATGTAATTTTTTTACCGAAATATGTCTCAGAAAGTGATAGGCTTTCACACACCCTTTCTGAAAAATGGGCCGAGTTGTGATTTATGCTCTTTGGTATCTTTGGATATTTTGGTTCTTCTTAATAATTATTTTTCTCCCATTTTGCTAGGCTGTAAATGGGAGTTTATAATTGTATGAGCTCTATGTCTTGGATTGCTTTATTCAAACTTAGGAGAACTAAAATGTAAAAGAAAAGGGTTTTATCACAGCAGTACTGTTAATCTACACGCCTTTTTAAGGGGCCAAGAGGGTTGTCACCTGCTAGCAATGCACCAACACCATTTATCAGATATCGCCCCCACTCCCCACATTTGGTATCTGTCCATAAACTTAAAAAACAAAACCCTTGGACAGTTGGTGTAAGTATACACCTAGTTTTTTAATTCTCAGTTTGTGAAAGAGGATGCCATTCAGCTTAAGAAATGAAATAGTGTCATATTTTGGTATTTTATGGGTTTTGAATGCTGTAAAACAGTTTCATTTCATTTTTCATTTCACTAAACCTTAGAAGACACAGTTGTCAATTACTTGCATGCAGAAAATCTGCTTTGTAATAAATGCAAGCAAATTCATCCCTGCTGCAACTTTATTGAGTTGAAATTAAAATCAGCTTCTGTTAAATGGTCCATATGGGAAATACACAGTTTGATTAATCAAACGAAAGCATCTTTTCTGATATGTGTTAGTTTTAAACCTGAACTTTTGCTAATACAGTTCTTGCAATTATTGCAATTAAATATGCAGAAAATCCATAGAATTTAAGAGTGGTTTAAGTGCTGGTGCTGGCTAAATGGTCTAATGAACTGCATATGAAGAAGCAGATGTCAAGGCATGATTTGTGGTTTACATAACAATATAGCCAATTGTAGTCATAAAGCCAGATAAGCAAAAAAAGTGGGGTGCTGTTCATACAAAGGGGCAATCTTTAAATCAGTTTCTATTCTATGTAGTTCAGAGTTTTTTTTTAAATGAAGTTGCCTGGCATCTTGATAACTACACAGAGCAAGTTTGGAAAGTTTAAATATTACCTAATAAATTTTCTGCCATCAGGATTAAAAGTTTTTAACCTGATATAGCACTCCAAGTCCACTGTAGAAATATTCAGGTATTTTCTGCCCTGGATGTAAGTTTTTGGACCTTATCTTCAGTAATTTCTAGTTTTGTTCTCTTGCACCTCTTTGCTAACTTTGCTGATTTTTTTTCTATTTTCAATGTTAGTGATAATGATATTGTGACCCCAGTGAAGCTAAGGAAATATGAAAGTAAAAGCTCTTTAAATATATATCTTAGCAGACAGGAATCAGGGTAATAAAATACACATTCAGTGTTGTGATTTGTTTATACTGATGGTCATGGGAAAGGGCAGAAGATATTTAACCTCCAAAAGCAAGAAAGGTAATATAATAAAATTTAAACTGCATATGAAGAGCATAAAAATTGAAATCTAGAAATTCAGGGTATCTGAAGGAAAGCAGGTCTTCTGCTAGAAGTTTAGTGCATAAATCCAGGACAGATTACAGTCTGCAGTCTTGTTTATAGTTTGGCAGGTGCAGTGATCAAGAAATTGCTGACTGAACTAATTAATGACACCACTTTGTATAACTCCCACAGAAGAGCACTGTGCATTGCTTGGAGTGAATGTGTGAGGAAACACCAATATATTTCACTTATCTGACTTGAAAATAAATGTTATGATGTTGTAGAAACAGAAATCAAGACTAATGGAATTTCACAGGCAAAATTTGAAATATGAAAGATGCATGATTTAAAATAGATATTTTAAATCTAGCACAAATTAACCAATTTTAATGCATCAAAAATATCAAAAGTTTAGGATTTTTTTTCCATCATTTAATAGTCAATTTATTGATGAGCATCACATAAAGTGAAGGAGGCTGTTTACCAATTAGTATGTGTAAGTAACTGATGGAAACCCTAAACTTGATTTAATTCTCCCAGTCACCATAAATTCTCCATTTACTTATGAGCCATCAAGTAAAGCTGGCACATTCTTACTAAAATGGAATTGAAAAACAGAAATTTATGAGTTAAGAAAAGAAGTTAGTACTTCAGAAAAAGTATTGCTAAATATGTTCAGTAAACTAATGTACTTTAAGAAATTACATCACATGTGTACAAACATTTTACAAGCACTGGTATTTAAAAAATATAGTAGGAATAATAAGTGATATGAAAATACATCATTTTTCTGTATTATATGTGTGTTCAACTTCAAGTCATCATGTTCTTCATAAAAAGGAACTGTGTGATGCTTGGGATTTTTAACAGAAATGAAGCATGGATCTTGCATGCCTGGGTAGCTTGAATGTAGATTTTTGGTATGTTGCATGCAAATAATCTCAATATTGGCATGAGAGTGGAAAATAAAAAGAGTTAAAACCCCCCTGAGATAAAGTTGAAAAAAAGGAACTCTATATACAGGTTTTCTCCCCTTTAAAATTATTTTTATGATTTGCTTTTAGTTTGCAACCGAAGATGTTTCATCAGTCACTGTAGAACATATATTCAGATGTAATTGAAGAAAACATATGCTGTACATAAAAGACACTGACAAAAGAAAGACAGAAGTAAGGTGAAGACTTCAAAGTCTATAATTCAGGAAGTTTAGAGATGACAAAATTATATTCCTGTAAATCTTCATCTATCCCTGTGTGTCCATGCATTTTCTCACTTGTTTAATATACATGGTATCTGCATCCCTGTCAGAAGCTCTTTAAGACTTCCCCAGATCTTCCCAAAAACATCCACACCATGCAGCACAAAATCTGACAAACAAGTTCCTTTTGACATCTGTTATGCATACAGCTTCTGTTCATCACCATGCCCAGATGTATGCTACAGCCAAAAGCAACTACGGTTTGGTACACTCATTAATCTTGCTGCAAGACAAGGACACACTGTAAAGAGTCCTGGGTGAGAAGCTGACATGCTCTACTTGTGTTTCCTGCAGGACTGGACAAACATTTCATGTCTGTGATGTTTCAGGTGGCAGTCAGATACTGGCAGGACACCTGCCTGCTGGACAGTCAGACAGCCGAGCTCATGAAGAGCCTTTGACAGATGACAACATCATGTGAACATTCCTGGAACACCATGACACAGTGTCATGGTGTTCCAGGAAACATGTTACAGCTTCTGCCTGGTGGTCCAGACTATGGCTTAATATAGGCTGTTAGAGATACCATGCTGCTTCTGGTTGGTGGTTATTTTTTATGGGACTTAGGTTGCATTGGTCAGTACTGGGATAATAGATTACTTCTGTTACTGCATTCTTACTGTAATCCCTCAAATCAATAGCCCTGACATTAGAACACTGTATTTGTGTCTCTTTCTCTTCTTTCTTTTCTGGATGTAGTGCAGCATGATAAGGGGACTACCTTGTGGCATGCCTTGCAAAAATTTCTGAAAATCACAGTACTAAAGACAGTGCTTACCTCAGGCTAGCACCAATCTGCCATAACAGACATCTTTTCAGGCTTGTTTTTTGACATTCCTCTAACTTCCATTACTTCATTCTGAATAAAGTTCTGCAGTCACCAAGTGAAAATATTTTCTCTCAGAAGGAATTTACAGATTATGTACTCAGTACAGTCTGCCAGACTACTCCTGTTGACTACAATTCAACCCTACCTTTCAAGTGTAAAGTTCAAAAATGTCATCAAACTTAGCATGGTTACATATAATTCCAAGAAGACTTTGGATAACACAGCTTGGCAGAATGTTGTTATAAGTGTTTGTGCATGAACTGAGGTTTTGGAAGTTAAGCTGTCACTCAAGTCTTGTGTGGCATGTGTCACAGATACAGTATATGATGTGAAAGCGGACCACTCTGCCTATGGGTGCAAGGACCCTTGTTTAACCTCCCATGCCAACTGTTTGCGAAGTTTTCTTATGTGATGCCACCACACTGTTCTGCACAGCATGAACATTATGTGGTCGTAAGGATAGGCTTTGGAATCTGCTTGAGAGTAATTGAGATGCAGCCATGAAATCACATATTTATATAAAATTCTTAATAATGATTTAGATAAAGAGGTAAAAAATGCACAGTATTTAACTCCATAGTTTTAATTATGTTACATTTTAATTAGCTCATAAATGTGTGGACAAAGGAACTGTTACATATATGGGACTTTATGTTTTCCCCTCAGTTCTTTCTGCTTGGCTCTACAATGGACCTCACTTTTTGCAATTTACGGATACCTATATGATTTCTCACCATTTCATATTTAAGTCACAGTTTTACATCCTGTAGTGGTTTTAAAGCACTAGCAGAAAATCACCAGAAAACTTACTCATCTCTTGCTGTGAGATATGGATTAGGAGAAGAGCAAAACAGGCTCAAAGCCTAAAAGAAATAAATAAAGTTTATTAACAGAGATACAAGAATAAGAAACCAGAATAAAACTTCCAGAAACCCTTCCTTCCCACCACCCAACCATTCCCTTGTCCAACTGACAACATAGAGACAAAACCTGGTGGTTAAAACAGTACTAACTATACAGTAGTCTTTTCATCAGTCTTTGTATAGAAAGGAGTTCCCTTTTGTCTTTCCATGGAGCGTTCTCCACAAGAAAACAGTTTTCTCACGGCTTTTCTTTCCCATGATAGCAGCTGTGCAGAAGGAAAACTCTCTTCCATCATGCTCTCCTTCCATTTTCACACCACTCAGAGGTGTGTTCACAGGCCATGAACTCAAGGGGTATTATTTTAAGGATGAGTTATTCAAAGGCAAAGGTTCTCTCCATCCATCTCTGTGATCATTTCTGGGAACAGAAGTTTTCTCTTTTTCTCCCTTGGGGCAAAGGGTCTTCATCTACTCTCACTTCTCTCTCTCTCTGTTGGAGCACCTCATGGGATCACAGCTACTTCACCATCTGCTCAGCTTTATCAGTGGATATCTTTTCTCAGATCTATACTTTTGAAATACTTCATTCACCCCAAATACTCTTTCATGAATTAAAGGAGTTATTCAGAACCTTATTGTCTATCTCCATGGTCTTACCAAAATAATATTTCAGCTTATTAAAGTATCTCCTCATTCTCTTCCCATCTGAGGCCTGGTTCCCTCTTTCACTGATTTTGATGGTTTATGTTGTCTTTTTACATGTTGACCACTCTCACTTTGCTCTGGAAAAAGAATTAAATCTGCAGGTCTCATCTGAGTAGTGAAAGGGTTAAAATCTAGCTCAAACTGCGGCAGGTATTCATGGTGTCGGATTTCAGCTTGGCAGCGCTGGAAAGGCAGCGGACGGTTTTCGGCCTGCAGCAGTCTGGGGGGGCTGAGGGGGCGAGCAGCCGTGGCCCGTCCCAGCCCAAGGCCGGAGCCACGGGCGGGCCCGGCCCCGCCTGGCAAAGGCCAGCCACCCCGCCGGAATAGGACCTGGAAGGTTTCCTGGGAGGGCCGCAGCAGAGCCCGGCCCTGGCCTGGCGGAGGTGGGAGGAAGCCCCGCAGGCTTCATCCCCTGCCTGGGAGCCACGGCTGGCTGAGCCCAGCCCCAGCCGGACCACATGGGCCTGGCAGGGGGGAGACCAAAAGCCAGCTGGAGTTCTGTTACCTTTCAAAGCCGGAAACAAAAAAGAGTTAGAAACTCCCGGGCTTAGGTTTAAAAGGTGGTATGCACAGGGTTGATCTCACTTTTCAGTGGTGAACAATACTGTCAGTTCTCAGAAATGGCCAGCTATTGGCCAGGTCTCAAGCAAAGAAGAAACTCCCAGCAGCCTCTCTCGGAGCCCTGACTGCTGTAGGTGTTCCTTACTTTTTTCTTAAATGCCAATCCATCACACATTCCTAAGTAAAAATTCTTCTTACTTTTTCTTTCCTAGAGGAGGTAATGTTAAACACTTGACTCATGACTAAACAAAATTAAGCAACTTGTGGTATTTAGCTATTAATTTTTCTATATCTTGAAACCCGTATGAACAAAAAATTTGAGTATAGCTAAGTGATTGTTGTGGAGACTAGATAAGTATGTATGCATGCTTTAAAAACTTTTCAAGGTTCCTGTTACATTGTGGTTTCCAGATTTAGATCTGAAATTTTTATTTTTAAATTTTTATCACAGTATTCTCTGAGATGCTATGTCTAAATACTTGCATATTTCACAATGTAGCTCCTTAAACCAATGTTTTTTGTTATGAGGTTTTTTGATACCTACCCTTGACCTTTTCCACCCAGCCTTACAGGAAAACTAGCAAGATCTGAGTAAATAAGAACAAACAAAGGAAGACAAAGGAGCACTGAATTGCATGATTTCTTCATTTTAAATATCTTTCTGATTAGTTAAAATACAGGAGGTGTAGCTCTACGCTTTGGTTGAAATTGTTTTCTTTGCAGTCAGGTGTGCCTGTGGTTGAAACTGCATGTGTATACCTCATACTCTTATCATTTTGCTTACAAATTTCTTGGTCATTTTAAGGAGCATGTGCAAATTTGTCATCTAACTATGCTTTATTACTTCATATGCAAATTTATATATCCAGGCCTCACAGAACAGAGTCATTGAGGTTATTAGACAGGACCCCTGGAGATTAACTAGGCTACATAAAATGAAATTGAGAGGCATAACATAAAGAGACAAAATTAATATTTTTTTTACTTGAAAAGTCTAGTTGGTAAAAATTTTGGTCTACAAAATTTATTATAGAACTTCAAGACAGAGAAAAGGGAGTGAACCAATTGCTAATAATTTAGAATAGTTATACTTGGTTATGAATATCTAGTAATCTAGAACACATTTTCAGAATACATGCTAAATAATACCAAAATAGTTTTGATGCAACTACATCTTGAATTAGAATCAGAGAATCGTCAAATGGTTTGAGTTGGAAAGGACTTCTAACAATATCTAGTTTGAAAACCTAACCTTGGAGGACAGTTTTCTTTAGATAATGTTGCTCAAATGAACTAATTTATTTTTCATATACAAGTTTTGTGTTAACTTGCTTATTTTCACTCTTTTTCATTCTTTTTAAGGTGCTGGTGGCTGGTCTCCACTTGTGTCCAATAAATATCAATGGCTGCAGATTGATCTTGGTGAAAGAACTGAGATTACTGCTGTTGCTACTCAAGGTGGTTATGGGAGCTCAGACTGGGTAACAAGCTACCTTCTGATGTTCAGTGACAGTGGACGAAATTGGAAGCAATATCGTCAAGAGGAAAGCATTTGGGTATGTCCTTTCAATAATGAGAATTAAGTTTCTGCAAAAGACTTAAAGACAAGTTACTGTGCATTGTTGTAAATCTAAGCAAAGACGTAGAATATAAAAAAACTACAGTAAAAGTGTTTAGATAATTACATATACAAAGAAATTTAGCTCTTGAAAAGATGAAAGACAGTAAAAAGCAAACAAACATCAAAAATCTAGCTGTAGCAATACTCCATTAAAACAGAAGAAATTATTCTGAGGATTACAAATGCACTACAAAGTCTCTTTTGTCTTGCTATGTATGGCAAATTTCTTTTCCCAAAAGCATTGATCCCAGTGCCTGAAACTTGGCTTTTAGTTATGGTTAAAAACCAAAACAAAATAAAAAATAAAACAAAACAAAAAACAAAACAAAATGTTTTCTTTTCTGTAGAATGTTCAAACTGATTGTAAGAATAAAATGAAACAACCAAAGAAATGAAAATCTTAACCATGCAAATCTCAGTCTATTAAAAAAATTAAAAATTAAGCAATATTTAAGTTTTGGTTATCAAATTCAGTAGTTTCTGATGCTTTAACCTGCTTAACTTTGACTAGCTTTGTAAATAATAATGATTATTAACAAGCCATTAATAAGATCATCACTTTCTTTTTGTATGAATATAAATGAGAGCAAAGGATACAGAACTAGAAGGATGCTGTCCAAAGTCTACATGAAAAAGTGGATTATATAGATTTAGAAAAGGGTTGCATCTTTCCTTTATCTCCAGTAATTGGCAGCTTGGACTAGAGGAAGAATATTGGAACTTGTGTTACATTATTTTATCCTGTCAAGTGAATTCTGTTCTCCATGCACAGAGCTGATTAATTTGTAAATTTTTCTAAGCCTTATACTTCACTCATTTCTTGCTGCAGTTAAAGATTATGTTAAAATGTATTTCATTTTATGCATTTTGATTTTGTTGACTTTTAATTCAAAATGTTCTTGTCACTCTTACTGTCAAAACCCATCTATGGTATAATGAGATTATGCAGTGTTTTACTTGTTGCATAATTATCCTGCTTTTTAAATTTGCTACATACTTCCGCTTCAGATTGTGTTTTCATAACAAAGAGAAATAAATGCGTTTCTAATCCATATGGCTGTGGGGAATAAGAAAAACAATCAATTTTCCAAATGTTAAATGAGCATAAGATACTACAATATTGTCTTTGCTCATCTTAAGACAGACTGGCAAAATATATCTGAGAGGTAGCTTGGTTTCTTCCATGATGGCTCTTTTGAAATCCAATACTGGTATTACAGTGATGCAGATTGTTATTTCTTGAATATTGCCACTGATAAAATATCAAATGAAAGTTCTGAAAAATAGTTAAATGCTGATGCAGACATTGGATAAGGGGATTGTTAGATATTTAGGAGCTAAAAGGTGGAGTTCCAATTCCATAATCTCAAACTTAATAAAAAAATATTATTTTAATGATTGCAAGGTAGATTGAAGGTATGGCTTGCAGGCAGTAATGAATAATTCAAGGATGAAAACCATCAAATTCAAGGCAGTCTATTGATCTTTTTTATGTATCTTCATTTAGGAGTTCTGCTTCTAGGGGAAGATATTTTCTCTTTTTTAAACTAATACACAGATGTGGTCTTGGAGTGAAACTCTTAAATCCCTATTTATTTTATAGATTTTTTCTGACTGTTTTCTCTTTATGCTGACTTCTTAAATGACATGCTCAAGTTCATTAAGGCAAGAACATCCAGCATTTTATAATATCTACTGTGCTACTGTGTTATTTCTGTCCTATTTTTAACTGAGTTGTTGGTCTGTTACAAGGCTACTTACCCGAAGTAACTTTTGAGTTTTAATCCTACTCTGCTTTAGAATGATGGAAGATGTCCAGTTCTGAGGGCTCTGTGTGGAAATCTTCACTAGATATGTGGATTTTTACTTTGTAACTACTTCTATTAGAATTAAGATACTTTCCTTGTCTGCAAATTCGCCACTTCCTACTTTATATTTTTCTTTTCAGAAGTTAGTTTTGAATTATCTTTATTTCCTTATGGCCTATCTTAAGGTTCTGAAACTCCTGTCACTGTGCAGCTTATAACAGTTTTTTCATCAATTATAAAATTTTTAGCAACTGAGGTGAATAGAATACTATCTACATACCTGCAAATGATCTAGTTACCACAACTATCTTAACAGTCTGTGGAGAAGGTAGTATTTTCTAAGGCTGGTTCCTCTGACCATAGGTGTCTTGCTTAGGTTTAAAAGAACCGTGTTTCACCTTGCCCCACCAATAAAATGCTTTATTGTGTGTTGGTCCTGAATTTGCATGAAAAAAATCTTAATTTAGGTGAGATTAGCCTCTCTCCCTAAACTGCTAGTAAATACTAAATATTTGTTTTCACTTTTCTGTATACTGGGTATTGGTTTAGAAGGAATCATGGTGACTGTAGTCTTCCCTCATGCAATATGTGTTTGTCTCAGTGTTCTAGTTTCCTTGTTGTACTGATGGCCTAAATGTACGGCTTGCTTGCTGTTTCATAACTGTAGGAAGTTTATATTTTATGTGGATTTTATTTATTGCTTTAAATCCTTTAATTACTAGAGGAGTTTTTGAAAGACTAACTCCATTACTTTTAATTCCTAGGACTTCTGTCACTACAGATAAAGTATTGTTAAGTATTGTTAGCTATACATTCTACAGTAGAGTTTTTCTTATTTCAGTAATACATTCTGATTTCTGTCCTCAGTGATATTACTGTCACTGTATTTTAAAGTTAATTATAAGTATTTTCTGCCCTGTCTTGATACCTACTGTAGGATATTTTCAGTCAGACCTTAGTAGAATTAATATTTACATCTGTTTCAGGAATTGGTACAGTTCTGGTCAAGGTATAAATCTCAAGTGAAATAATTGTAATTAGTGGTAAAACACATGTTTTTGCAGAGAAATAATTCCCATTGAGAATGATTAGTTTAATCTCGGAAAGAAATTAATTCAACTCAATTTTTTATTTTCTTCAATTTTACCATAAATATAGGAGTGTTTGAACAACACATGTTGTATCATTTTATATTCTTCAGTCTTTTTATTGTCTTCCTGTTCCTTAGGATTTAGTTTCAGATGCAGTGAAGTTCAGACTTCCAAGCCAAATCATTTGCATGGTTCTTTTTTTACCTTTAAAATGAGAAGAGGTCTCAAATCTCTTTGTATATTAAGTTTCCAGATTTTCTTTTTCCTCTGGAAATGATGATTCTTTTCACTTACCTTCTTTCAGACCACAGAAGGTATACAGTAAATTATCAGAAAAAAGATATGTTGAATTTTGGTCAAGAAGTTCTAGAAAACCTTATGTCTTTAAATACTTCTTTATTAGAGGTATTGCTTTTCATTCTTCCTTGTAATTTGTATTTGTATTCTTCCTTGTAATTCTAGATATCATCACCTGTATTTTGTTTGTGAAGAATCTCCTATTGTAATTATATTTATCTATTTGGGGCTATGTCTACTGATCCTTTCAACTAGTAGTTTCTGGGTTTAACTAAATTAATAGTTTTGTATCACAAAAGTTTTTATGCTGTGCACTCTCTCCAGGACATTACTAATGGTTTTTCATTTAAAAGGAGAGTAATAAGATAAAGAGAATAAAAGGGAGGAGTTAAGAGAGGGAAAAGGATAGCAATTCACAGTTTGAATAACAAGTTTCCCATGGTTGATAATTTCATTGAAAACTCGAGTCATCTAACTATTGGAGAAATGCATATCAATCTTATTCATTAACAGGAGTTTTGAAGAACAAAAGAAATGCAATTTCTTTGATATAATGTTGACTATTTCTTCCATGACACACCTAAGGAAGAACACATATATTCAGCTTTCAGTTTTGTCGATTTTTTTCTTTTCCTCTGAGAATAATGATGGAATTGAGTTTTCACTTTTATTTGTTTTGAATCTTCCTTTTAAAATTATTTCCAGAGAAATTAAAACTAATAGATTAAAATAGCTAAAATTTGGGGAAAATATGACCATTTTAGTAAATTCTCTTTTAGAAGACAAATTTGTTTATGTCTGTTTATTTTTGTACATATATTTAAGTTCAGAGGTCTACTAGTTATTTAATTTAACTTAGCTGGTTTAAACTGTAAGCTTGTTTTATCATAATATCCTAATCATAATATAATATAATTGAATATATAATATATGAAATCATAATATTTTATCATAATAACAACCCTGTGAGTTTTCACAGAAGTATTTTCACTGTAACAGTTACAATGATAAGTAGTGTAATTTTGTGTATTTTCACAATGTATTGTGAAGAATTGTATATGCATTGCTACACATATTCACAACTTCCTTTTCAAAGGAATTGGGGCTTTATATTTTATTGGAGACTTCCGATGGTGTAAAATAATTCACAATTATGCAAAGTTACAGAAGTTAAGAAATACTGAATATGTATTTCTGTGTATTGTGAGTATTCTGTGATACTCAGAAGTTTCAAGAGTGCACTCTTTGATAAAGCTTTCTTAGACTTGGTAATTCATGTTTGCTATGATCCTTCTCCTTTGAGAGTAGAGTCATCATTCTTGATCATAATTTGCTTCACTTTAATAGAAGAAGCCTGTACATATATGCTACTTTTTTGGATTTCTGCTAATTACTTTTTGAACCCAAGAGATTTTGCTGTTGATTCCTTTTGCAAGCCAAGTCATAGATAATTTCAATGGGTACTCTCTCACTATATATTTTCCACAGATACAGTTCTGAAATATGGTGACTTCAGACTGCCTGACGCTTCTTCTGTTAGTCACAGGAAAGAGAGAACCACTTTATCTATGAATTAAAGTAGATCATGTAGTAATGACCCCCATGAAGACCCATGCTAGACCATTGAGTAGCTGGACTGCACTCCATGGAAAGGACACGTGCTGAAGTACAGAACAGCGTGAGAAGTCACCCTCCTTAAAGAGGAAAGGTGTGACAGAAAATGCTTCTCATGGAAGGTA